TCGAGAATATATATATATATATATATAACTGTACAAAGGGCTTACAGCTCAAGTGTTTTTCAATCAAGCAATTTTTTTAATACATTCAATACTAACTTCATGAGTGATGGAGTAGACTAAACCTCAAAATAGATTAGCCATAATAATTTAGATAAAATTCGTCTTTGACGGAAATTAAATCTAAAACTTTTCATTCATATGTGAAAAAAATAATTACTAAACTGTGATATTAAGTGACTCTGATCAAACAATTTATTAATATCATGTTAACTAAAACCCAAACCCTATAAATCACTCCGTTCAGATGGGCCCCTATTCCTAGGTGACATTGTTTTGCAACATTCAAGACAATAGTAACAAAGGATTATTTCAATGCCACTCGTTTCTCAAAATTTGCCAGTAGTTAACCAAACCAAACAGAATATAAAAATGAATATATAATAATTGGTAAAGTTTTGAATCACATCAAGCAGCCCACTGGTAAGGGTGCGGACTGTGACTACCTAATAAATAAAAAAGTGAGAGGTTCTGAGTTTGATTCTCCGAGCTGATGAGTCTACTTGATTGTGGTCACATATATGTTGAAATTTCCTCATAGCCTCTCCAGACCTAGAAGAGGTGGATAACCGTAGTTTACCATCAGTTGTCCCCATTAAAAAAAATAAAATTGGTAAAGTTTGCACATGCGTCAAATGAATATAAACAATGAACCCTTCATTCACTGTGTTATGGACGATTAAACAATTAAAACTCTAATCAGTTGATTAATTAGCTTCTCTCGGCCATTTGAAATTAATTTATAATGGTTTTTCTGCTTCCCTAAGTATACATGCATAGTATATAAGATTAACAGTCACAAGAAAGAATGCAAAATCGAAACTTTTATGAGAGAGAGCTTCTCTCGGCCAATTGAAATTAATTTATAATGGTTTTTCTGCTTCCCTAAAGATACATGCATAGTATATAAGATTAATAGTGACAAGAAAGAATGCAAAATCGAAACTTTTATGAGAGAGAGTGTTGACTTGTATATAGTTTCCTACAATTTAGGATTCCCTAGTTAGAATGATTCCTTGTAATATGGGATCGTAATTATTGTATTTATCCCTTCCCTTTTATGTCTGCCCTAGGATTGTATATTATACCTCAGATTTGGAATGAAACATACAATTTCAACGCATTCTCTTCTGAGAGAACCTCGATTGCTTTGCCAATATAAATAGTTGTCCTCCCCGGACCCCTGGGCCCTTTTCTCCATGTTTTTTCACTGTTTTCTGATGGAAATTGTTATACGTAGTTCAAATGTTTGTATTTTGTGTTTTAGGGTGGGAGAGCTGGTGCAAAGTTGTTTCCCTGGAACACTTGACTTTCTGTGTGCGTTACGTAGAGTAATGTAATTTACGGTAATGGGTTAGTGAGTTTCCAGTAAAGAGTATTTATTTTACATTCAATGTTTTGTGTTCAGTTATGTCGCCTATATTTTTTTCTGCTATACAATGACATTTTACATTTAAGCCTGAAGGATTTGGGGTTGAACTCCACAATGAGAAAATCATAATAATTTGGTAAAAAGTAATTTATATTAATGAAATTGTACGCAAACTGAGGCCTCAGGTGAAACTGAAATGAGGCCTTTCTAAGTTAGCAATTTAATATGATTTTTTTTTTCACAACAATATGAATTTGAGGTATATCAGATTAAATTTATGAAAATAAGAGTTTTTTTTTTCTTCTTTCTAGTCAAGAATACGATGAACAATGAAAATTTTAAGATATATAATAAGACTATAGAGAAAATACGAGGCCTAATTTAAAGTGAGACCCAAGGTGCATGCCTTGTTCGACTTGTGATCAAGTATTTTCTAGTAAAACTTAATTATAGTTTAATTTTTTTTTTTGGGTCAAATGATAGATTTGTTAGATTAGGAAATTGACGGGGTTCGAACCCACACCGTGGTGTAACGGCAACACTCTTCTCCAGTGATTATGAGTTTCCCATCACTATATATGTAATCTTGGATTTGTGGGTGTAGTTAACTTAGGTAGTAATCTTGAGTTTAAAGAGATATTAATAGATAAGATAAATATAATATAGTGCAGAGAATAATTTTGGTATAGAGAGAGAATATGAGTATAAATAAAATTTTCCTATCTTTTAGTTTTGAAATACATCAATGCTTCACATATTTGAAGGACTTTGCTGCGACATATTCATGTGCTTTTTACCTATCAAGTCAAATCAAGTCTATATATTGTTTAGCTGTTATGCGCAATTGGATCGTTGAGTACCAAGTCAATTGTCCACAAGTTCTTTATGGCGAGGTGTAATGAGCTATATGGCGGTGGTGGCAGCCACGGCTTAGGATTATGGCCGGTTATTGGGTCACTCTGAGTTGTATGGTTAATTTGGTTTTGAGTCTCGCTAAAATGTTATGATGTGGGTAGGTTTTTTTGGGTTTATTTCTTTATTGTATTGATGTTTTTAGACGTCTTGTATGTTTATAGTTTTTCTAGTGCAATATTCTAAAAAAAAAAAACTATAACTGTCGATATCTCTTGAAGTATTTTTATATAAAACTTAATTATATTATATTCAAAATATAAGATAAAAAAAGTTACAGCCATTGGGGTGTCTTTGCTATTGTACTAGGTAATATTCTTCCAATCTGACCATTTTTGTAAAGATTAAAAGAGATTAATTTTTTTACAACTAATATATCTTTTATCATCAATTTGGATAAAATTTAAAAGTTGGTTCTTTCTTCTTTCAACACATGTTGAAACTTAGCGAGTCATCTAATCATTTACACCATAACCTCTTATCTCATGTACGTTTTGAGCTTAAGCAACAAAACTATACTCGTGTATGGGTGAGTGACATTCAAAGTAAGAGTATCCCTTTATCGCTTGATGAGTGCTATATAATTGTGATGGTGGATATCCTCTTAGAGAATGTCCCCAGCTCATGGTCATCCCTAATTATAGCAGTTAACAGACTCTAGCAAGCAACCCACGCCAACCAGTTGTTGAGGCAAGCCCGCAAAGGTTTGTAAGCAACAAATGGGTGACGTGACGGTGCACTTAATCTCCATAAAGCTTATTTGGAGCGAAGGCAAATGGGCTTGCAAACAAAACGAAGTGTTCAGTGAGCTAGCACACATCTATCCAACAACCAAATTAAAAGTTACATGCCCATCAATCAAACTTGGTTTCATATCATGCACAGTCGCTAACATTATGTAAGTTTACACTAAGACATATGTTTGGTGTCAATAATACAAAGATACTTATAAGTTTTTTTTCTATATGACTTTGTATCATGAGCACAGATGCCACAATAACAGCTAATTATCCATGCTATGTAAGTTGCTCAAAAGAGAAAAATGTTATATTGATGAAGAATTAGGTAGCAGCTTCTTATCCTCAAATTAAGATGCATGTTGTACATTCAATTCGTGGCATAATGAGATTGATCACTATTGAAAATACTAATGTCACACATTATACTTGCCTCTTGCCTCGAAATAGTTATCTTCGTTGAGAGAGAGAGAGAGATGTGTTCTCTTTCATGCATGTAGCGTACTGTGTACCTTCACCTTGAGAATGTAAAGTTTGGTCCACAAAATAATGTATTTAAAATTATGAAATCCTCATCCAATGAAGAGATGTTTGCCCAATTTCGGTTACACATGATTTATGGAATAGAAGAATGATTTATGGAATAGAAGAATAGGCATATACAACCACATGCGTTTCGGGGCACTGCAGAAGTCTTACATATTTATTTCTCCATGGTACATAAATTTATGCACTATCTATCTACCTATATATCTTTCTCTCTCTCTCTCTCGATAAAGATCAAGATTCAAAACCAAAAGAAAAATATGGGTTCTCTGATCTCCTCTTCAGATCTGAAACTATGTTTAATTCATATCATGAAGCTTTACTACGGCTGTTAATAAGGGTCTTTGTCCATAGGATCATATCTAGCTATCAAATCTGCAACTACATTACTGTTGTCATGTTACTTAATTACTATGTTTATATAAACCAGGCTAATTAGTCTCACGAGTTAACATTACCTTTGATTGATATTGTGAGAGAGAGAGAGAGAGTTCAGTATTTTATATACATACATATATATATATATATATATATATATATATATATATATATATATTACATACATAGAGGGCATATTCTTGAGAAAAATAGTTAATTATGCATCCCAAAGATTCTTAATCATATCAATTTGGGAGGAACCACACATTTGATTTGCATTCAGCTTTAAGTAGGTAGTTTAGTTAAATTGACTAGAACAATGCGTTTTTCTTTCAGCATTCAAATTCGAATCCAGCTTCTTTAATTTAAATAAATTTAATTAGATTATAATACCATTACTTTGAAAACAAAAATTAATAATATTGTTTGTTAAAAGAACACATTCAGTACTATGTATTATATGAATCGATCAGAACAGAATCTCATTAAGATAATAAACTAATACAATTTATAAATTAAAGGAACCTATTGATATGAACAGGTCAGAACAGATGTACAAAGGATTGCATATAGAAACATGAATTAGTACACATATAATTAACTGTACATGAATTGAAGGAATTTAGAAAGAAAAAAAAAAAACACTTTTCCCGGTGAATGAGGATGGATCTCAAAAGCACCAAACTGCATTTACACAGAGAAATTCTGTCACTCCAACCCCAACATGTCTCATTTGCTAATGAGATTCTCCACTAGCTAGGTTTTCACTTTATCAACAACATGCACAACGTCCGAAACATCATACAAGAATTGCTCACAAAATCCAAATTGTTGAAAAAAAAGAAGAGTAAATTGTGACGAGATACCCAGATAAGTAAAACAGACATAGATCTAGTAATTGAATTCTGATAAGTAATTACACCAAATCATATTCATATATGTAAACAGACCTTTTCTAGGGTTTATCCGGGAAAAAAAAACCTAATGGGTTCTTGAGGAGATCGACCGCTGTGAATCTAGGGTTTTTCTCGTGCTTCATTCAACAGGTGAAGCTACCACATGATCTATAGCCTTTCCTGTATACAAAGATAGCTTAGATCATGCTGGCAGCTTCAACTGTTGGAGGTGCACGATAAGATAGCAAGCACTCTAGCTAGGTCATTCTTCTTTTCCTTCTTTCTGTTCTTTCATCTTGGAGGCTTCAGAGAGATAAGAAGAGATGAGAGGATATAAATAGAGCCTGAGGTCTTTGATTACTATTCTTCCAGGCAATTAATTTTGCATCTTCCACTCTGTCTCTCTTGTCTCACGTGAATAGGATATAGCGGTCTTTTCAATTCTTTGCTTCTTCCAACCAAAGTTTTGCACCTTCCACTCCATCTTTTGTTGTCTCTCTTGTACATGTCTTTTTTGGTCTAACTTAATTAGTAAGCATTGACAACCAATAAAAAAAAAACTTAATTAGTAAACTAATAAACATATTAAATATAGCATTTAGAAATAAATACATTTTGATTTGATTAAAAAAAAAGCCATGTATGTGTATTCATGAAAGAAATACGCCAAAATAATGGGGTTAGACCATTTGATTAGAATATTATGTTCGTCTTTCCAGTACATACAAATTTGAAGTTTTGATCCTGTAAACTAGAGTAGGTTAGCACATCGAAATTTGTCAAAAAGTTAAGAAATATGCTCCGATATTCTATGTCTAATTAAAGGAATTCAAATTTCATTCCACCATACATGTTAGGAACTTAGGATACATTCAAAATCCTCCTACACATAGCAATTAAACGTAAACCGAAACAACATAGTTTTAGTAGGCTTGTAGCTAGAGTAACTGTTTGTGTTATTATAGTTTTTGTAAACATTAACCTAATTGATTATATAAAACGCATGTTAATTAAAGAGTGATTAGGGGCTGGAAAGTGAGAAAATTAAGCACTAAGTTAGATTAGCTAGTAGATGAAATGTAAAACAAGGGAAAAGATGAAAGATGCATGTGGCCCCAAAAGAAAAATTGAAATTGAATATTGTCACGCCCCCCACGCCACCACATGCAGACCGGCCCTTTTGTGTGAGTTTCTATATTTCTATGAAGGTCTTTAGTTAACTTTAGCAGGAGGACTTTTCATGTTGTCTCTCTGGGCATCTCTCTCTCTCTCTCTCTCTCTCTCTCTCTCTCTCTCTCTCTCTCTCTCTCCTCTGTGCCGGCCTGTGCTGTAAGGTAACATCAAGCATAAACCCAAAAAAAGTATAAAATCACAGAGCGAATGGGGGACCATTATTTTTGCATGGCTCAACGGGGCTGCATAAGGTTCACACAAAAAAGGAAATTAAGCAGCTGGCACCAAAAAACTGAACATCTTCTCTCTCTCTCTCTCTCTAATTAGCTAGGTACGTTTTGCATTTTGAAGTGTTTTTTCCTTTTGTCCCTTTTATCTATGTTGACATAGTAATGTGCTACTATATATAGTCCTATTCATGTCATTGCCTGTGTGGTGAACCAGTTGATCTGAGAAAAATTAAACTTCATTAGATTTCCGATGTGACATGTGAACTTTGTGTTGGTTTTAGGGTTTTTGTGTTCTTCTCTCTCATTAGTTCTTTTTTTTTTAAAAAAATTGATCATGTGCTGACTGAATAAATAATTAAAAAAAAGTTTAACTGCTTTTTGATACAAAATTAACTATGAACAAATTCATTGATTCATCCACCAAAGATTTTTAAATGGTCAAGATCGATCCATGGTAAATTTGATTAACAAGAAATTTAGTAAGAATATAGTTTTTAATTTCCTTGTGCACCATCTGATGAAAACCAGTCTGCAACTCTCCAAAAACATATACATTTATAATTTTCTGCAGTTTGGTCATCAATAATATCACAGAGACTGAATAAGGAGTAAAATTTGGTGGTCCATCTCTGTTGCATGCATGCCTGCTCACTCTAGGTACCACTAATCTCCGGCATGCCACTGTGACCCCGCACCGCCGTGGTTATATTGGTTATCTTTTTGTTTTTATTTTCTTTTACATTGAGTTAATTGGTGAAATACAATTTCAAGGCATAAAGTACTTATTGATATTGCTCTCTTTCTCCTACATTAACTTTTATTTTTTTAAATTTGTTTTGCATATGCCTCTATTTTAAGGACAGTTTGGATGAGATGTGAAGAAAATAGACTGTATATAAAAATTGGATAAAAAACTTGTTTGTGTTCTTAATTTTCTAAAGAGAAACTTCATGAGGGAAATTGGAAGTCAATTACAAGTTCAAAAGGAATTTCAGCGGTTTACTTTTACCATTTCATTATGGTGTCAGATTACAATGATACGTATCACTTACTGATACAAATTTTATGCAGATCTAGCCGTTAAAAAATACATTAAATTTTAATTTGCAATAATTAACTATTAATTTTTCGAATTACTCAATGATATGTATTATGGAATTTTTTTTTCATAATGTCATTATCATAGACTTATGTTGCGCGGTTGATCTAGCAAATTTAAAAATTAGATTCTAGCTGTTAAATGGCTACAAGAATAAAATTTTACAACATTACTCGAAAAAGTTATTCATGATTTCCGCTTAGCTTTGACTTTTAACTAAATTGCCTTGTACGAATAGAACTTGAATGTATATATAATTGTTCAAAATTCAAACAACTATACTCAATTTCACATAAATTGTTTGTGCTTAAAATCATATCTAATGTGCGTGTGAGTAACTATCAACTATAAATGTATGAGTCTCGTAATGAAACCAAGTAGCTCGTAGTCTAATGGTACATCTATAGTAAGGAACTTGGAGTTGGTATTGTTCCGTACTCAAGTTCTCAACCTGTATACGGAACAAAATATAAATGTTTACCGAAATCAAGTTCGAGTTACGGCAACTTAACTCAAGTTCGTGTTTAAATTTGCTCACAGGAATCATATCCAAAATCAAAAGGCAAAAATATTGGCAAGAACAAAGTTTTGTACATTGATCAGAATACAAAATTTGGCCAAGAAGCATGGATTCACCACTGCTCAAACAGCCCTAGCTAGCATGGGTTCTCAATCAAGGGGATGATGTGGTGCCTATTCAAGGTGAGTTCTTCATACAAACTTACCAAAACGAGCTAATTTGCAGTACGGTTTCATGATCTTCTCTTTGATAGACCTTTGCAGGGCCGACAAAGATGATAAAGTTGGTGGACAAGAAAATGCCTCTGCCCAGCGGGAGGAGAAATTTTCCACGCACTAGCTGACATGGGGTCCCAACTAATACGTAATTGACACCTGTAAATCTTGTTTTTTCAAAAGAAGAAAATATCATCTGTGTTATTTAGGTTAAATATGGTTTATCTTCAACATTCTGCCGTTTGATTGATCCAATCAGCCCACCGTGCTCAATACGACGACAAGACGCCATCTAGGGCCATAACAAGATGCTCGTACTGTCTGCCGTTTGATCGAGGGAACTTTAACTAAAAGTTTTCGGTATTGTTTATTTTAACAAAAAATCATATTTTTACATTAAAAATCAATTCTGTTACTATTTATTTTACCTTTTATTTTCTCCTTATCATTAAAACTCAAAATTTTCAAGTTATTTTCATTAATTTTCCTTTTGATTTGATCCAATCAGTCCACCGTGCTTAATACGAAGACAAGACACCATCTAGGGCCATAAGAAGATGCCCTGTACTGTACTGTCGAGATTTTTCAAATAAATAAATAAATATATATATATATATATATATATATATTAGGATCAAACTTTAGGATTATTTTCTGTGTGATCTGGTACCAACAATACTTTTTGGGGTCACAAACTTCATTAAAAAATTTTGGACAAAAATGCTCCTAAAGCAAAAAAATTAAAAAGCAACTCAGAATAATTCATCGAATAATGCAGGGTTTTTTTCGTCATTTTAACAATGTTTTTTTAATAATTAATTATTTTTGTACAATTTTTTTAAGGGAACTTTAATGAAAAGCACTCGGTACTGTTCACTTTAACGAAAAACCACATTTTTACACTAAAAAGTCAATCTTGGTACTATTCACTTTACCCTTTATTTTGTCCTTATCATTAAAACTCAAAGTTTTCAAGCCCTTTTCATTAGTTTTTTTTTTTAAATTAGTATCTCACAATAAACTAGCAATAATATGATTCAATCGGTTATTCATATTTTAAAACACGTTCAAAACATCTTAAGAAGCGTGTAATGCCGGTTATAAAAAAAGTCTTTTGTATGCGCATAATAATGTGATTAAATTAGTTGTCAAATGATTGTTTTTTTTTTTAACAAACGATATTATCTACACTAAGGGGGAAGAGGGGTGGACTTAGCCTCATAATAGGCTAACAATAATGTGATTCAATAAGTTGTTTATTAAATATTATTTTCTCTATTCTTAATATAAGTTCAATAGAATGTAGATGGAAATTGAAATACCGATTTTAATATATGAATTCAACTACTTTGATTAGTTTGTAAGGAATTTCTTACAATTAAAATGTGTAAGTCGCGCATAGCAGACTATGTAAGCTCGTATGCTGCTGGGTGACGTTCCATTCTCCAAATAAACTGAGGTTCTCCATGTCAGCCTAAGAAAAAGATGGGGAAGAGCCGGCTGGATCAACCTAACAGTAAGAAAGATAGGTACCGTTGGATCAATCTTACGGTTCAAGTTTAAAAACATAAAAAAATCCAGCATTCGTGGAGAACAACGCCTGGTCAATCTGGAGTTTTGAAATGCGAGTAATTTTGCTTACCATTATTTAGTAGGATGTATGCTGAATACCATATTTATTACAGTTAGATGAGTTTAAATTTTGAAATTTACTTATTTTTTCTTGTAAAAAGAAGGTCAATTGATGACAAATCACGATTATTAATCTCTTTCAGACCTGAATAAGCTATAGAGAATTTCATCATGCCCGTAGTCATAATCAAGTAAATTATGAGATGCCATTTCTAGGTAAGAGTTTGACTATGAAATGCCATTTCTAAGTAAGTGATTAACCATTTCTAGGTAAGTGATTAATGATAAATGACAATGACAATTACGGATTAGGAAACAACAATAATGTAATCAACGATGACACAAAATATAGACTAGAAAAAATTGTAGAAATAGTTTCTCAATTTTAACTTAATTGGAATAATGATCCTCAATTAAAAATCATGATCATTGATCTTTGAATTCATCAAAACAAGCAGTGATGGTCATTTTCGTCTAATCTGTCCGAATTTAGTGAAGATGATTCATATTGGAAGGACAATTGCCTATAAGTAGATTAAAGTTGAGGGACCATTGCTGTAATTAGATTAAAATTGAGGAACCATTGCTACAATTTTTCTCATTCGATCCTTCATATTTCCTTTGATTCAACTTCACGTGCGTGTCATGAGACTCATTTTGATGGAAGTTTTTATTGAGTTGGTGAAAAATATCATAATTACATGTTTTGATAAATTAATACCCTTAATAGATTAATGATCTTGAATTTTTAGCTAAAGAAAGATTAATCCAATTGAGTTAGAGTTAAAGTTAAAGTTAAAGGAGGGTTGTTACAATTTCCTCTACAGAATATAACAACTAATTGTGTCTGTCGTCCTCACAGGCCGACTTCGGAACTCTTAAAAAGTCCTCACCTCCTGCATCGGAAGCAAATAGGGAAGGAAAAAGAATTGGAGAAAAAAGCAGAAGCAGAATGGCTGAGGAGGAAGTCCAAATTCCGAGAGTGAAACTAGGAAATCAGGGATTTGAGGTAAAACCCCATTCACTTCCTTTCTTTTGACTTTCAATCAACACGACGAAATGAAAAAAATCTCGCTTAGATTGTGTTTCTGTAAGCTTTTTTCTTAGTAAATCGATAGTGTTAATAGGTTTATAGTTAGTCGTTAGAGTATGAGAATCGGTGGATCAATCCCCGCGCATAAATATGATTGCTTTCTACCACTGTAGTAAAGCGCCATCTCCAAAATTTTATATGTTGTCGAGTAAATAGAGATACTTTCATGAACCCTTCGTGTTCGAAACGATCGATCATCGAGTATAAAGAGATCAATTTTCAGCAAGAAGAACTTGTTCTTTCACAGTTAATGGTTATAATACCAGAAAATAAATTGAATTTCACATAACTAGGTCGGCTACCTCATCATCCGCAAACAAACCATCATAATTTTCACTCAAAACACAAAACTAGACGTTCGGAAGGATTACCGATCATCACTGCTGCTGCTGGATCTGAGGATTGGGCGGAGAGGAGGCATGCCGGATCGGGGAGGACCATATATTGGAACTCCACCCGGCAGAGGAGGCAATCCCTGGCGGGGAGGCGGAGGTCCCCTCATCATCTGCGGTGGAGGCGCCATCGGCCTCTGTCGACGATGGATCGCGAAAGGTCCCGAAAAATCCTTACTGAGTGTGTGTCTAGCACTATTTTAATGTTTTGATGTACCGGGAATACAGGCGGTGTCTGTCTAGCACCATTTTAATTTTTTGGTCCTGGTCTTTGTTTTCTTAAGAAACTTGGGCCGGTTTCTTACTCGGAAGACATATTTACTTGGATGTTGAAATCATTTACTCGGAAGACATATTTATTTGAAGTCCCAACTTTCATGTGTTTACTAAGACGTATGGCGTAAAAAAAATGTGAATATCACATTAAGATTTGTAATGCGTGCTTGAAAAATCAAGAATTATATCGATAAGGTGCTAGACTCCTAGTTAATATGATTTCATACTTTCACTTCACGAATTCACGACTTCCTCCATTTTAAGTAAGTAAACATACCATTAATTATTGGGAGTATTTTTTATTTTTTTTTGGTATTACGATCACATTGTCGAAGGTGGACTAGTAATGTACACGATTGTGTGACGATCACGCCATCAAGGATGGATTGGTAATAAGTTTAGTTGTGTGGCGCTCACACTGTCAAGTGTCAAGGGTGGTTAGTAATAAACGTGGTTGTGTTGTGTGACAGTAACGCTGTCCAGGGTGACTAGTCACATTGAAAAATTCCTTGAATTGCTGTAAATAGTAGTTTCTGTGTATTTCATTTCATTTGTTGTTGTGCAGGTTTCCCAGTTGGGATTTGGGTGCATGGGGCTTACTGGAATCTACAATGATCCAGTCCCTGAAGAGGTTGGCATATCAATCATCAAGTACGCATTCGACAAGGGAATCACATTCTTTGATACAGCAGATGTTTATGGATCCCATACTAATGAGGTTTTGATTGGAAAGGTAGAGTCTTCTTCAAAATCCTAAAATTATAAGGTGAAAAATCATCAGTTCTTAGGATGTTGCTTCAACGAAATCTCATTCAAAACGTTATTAGCTCATTTTTCCTGTCTTGTTAACTTTCCTTTCAAGTTTGCATGCTATTTACGATTTAAAGTTTTTCAGGCATTGAAGCAATTGCCTCGAGACCAGATTCAGTTGGCTACGAAATTTGGTATTGTAGGATTCGATTCTAATGGCGTTGTAGTAAATGGCACTCCTGAGTACGTCCGTTCATGTTGCGATACTAGCCTGAAGCGCCTTGGTGTGGACTACATCGATCTTTACTATCAGCACCGCGTGGATACATCCATCCCCATTGAGGATACTGTAAGCGTTAACCCTTTTTCACTCAACAAAATATATTTGAAGTTGAAGATTTCTTATTTTATAACTATTAGTACTTGCTATTGTGGTACAAGGGTAGATGGAGGAACTGAAGAAGTTGGTGGAAGAGGGGAAAATAAAGTACATTGGATTGTCTGAAGCTAGTCCAGACACAATAAGGAGGGCAAACGCAGTTCATCCCATTGCTGCGATACAAATGGAGTGGTCGCTTTGGACTCGTGGAATCGAGGAAGAAATTGTCCCACTTTGCAGGTAACCCTCCTCATCTTACTATCCGATTTGAAAATCCTGTGCAAAAATCATAATTATGCACTGATAGGTGTGCAAAAATCATAATTATGCACTGATAGGTGTTTTCGGAAACCCTAGTACAGCAACAGCATATAGCATTGGTCGCGTTTAAGGAAACTAAAACGATCAAATTATCACTCAAAACAGAGAAGAGGGGGAGAGAGAGAAAAGAAGGGGGGGGGGGTTTGAATTCGATGTTATATATACAATATGTGCATAATGGCTAGCATATTAGCTTGTTGGTGCATTACATTTTTCTTTCTGCATTAACTCGCCCTAGAACTAAGATGTTAGCATCTATTTTTACCATCTTTTTGCACGCTACATGTATTCGCTTCCCGCCTTGTATGTATGACAAGAATTGTGCTGTCCTTGCTGAACATTAGGGAACTAGGAATTGGGATAGTGCCTTACGGCCCTCTCGGTTCTGGATTCTTCGGTGGCAAGGCAGTTATGGAGAGTCTACCTGCAAATAGTCTTCTGGTAATCTATGTCACAGAATTTATGTATGAAGCTCTTTTGTTCTAATTATTAAATGATTTGATGAATCAATCTTGCTCTCAGTATGGGCATCCTCGTTTCCAAGGAGATAACCTTGAGAAGAACAAGATTATATATAGTAGAATACAAATGTTGGCTGAAAAGCATAGATGTAGCACTGCGCAACTTTCCCTTGCCTGGATTCGTGGTCAAGGTGATGATGTGGTACCTATCCCCGGTGCGTGCCCCTTACCTTCCTGATCTAGCCTCTAGGGTTTAGGGTAATTGATGAGTTTTACTAATGCAATGAAGTAGAAACATTGCTGGATTTTTTTTTCCAGTTGCTGACATTCCCTTGTGTTTTCTTGTAGGGACAACTAAGGTGAAAAATCTTGATGATAATATTGGATCCTTTAAAGTGAGGCTCACAAAAGAAGATGTAAAAGAGATTTCAGATATGATACCAGTGGATGCAGCGGCGGGGAATAATGTACCTGAAATTTTCATCCCCTGCTCTTGGAAGTTCGCAGATACACCGCAAAGAGATGGAGGAAGACCATCTTAAATGTTCGTGTATGTGATCGGGTCTGCGCCTTTCCTGTAAGAACTGCTGAAATGATGTAAGGTGTTTATGTTTGTTTGGTTCTGATTGTTGTTAGAAAGTGCAACTAAAGTTCCAATTGCTGCACAGTTTGAGAACCTTTGGTGAATGCTGCCCCGTTCTGTTGGATGCTTAAGCCTATTTTTTTGGTACTAATAACAACTGTTCTCAGTTAGTTGTGTGCTGATTTAAGCTTAATTTCATACACTTCTTAATCAATTTCGTGTTTCACGTATCAAATGATTTCTACATCTTTTACATCTTTTATGAACCCGAAAAATGAACAACTTCCTTTTCTTAGGAACACTTACAAGATAAACAAGAAGGGAAAAATAGAGAAAAAATGTCTAAATAAAAAACAAAACGAAATAAAACTAAAACTTGTAACTTACTAATAACGAAAGATAAGTCCGTGGAGTTGCCCTACTAGGACAACCGTGTGAAGTTGAGAGAATCAATACAGACAATATGAGAAATGCGTTGCATATGACGTGATTAGCGTGTCCCAGCCTCAATTTTTCTTTGATAGTTGTGGCGAGCCCGTTGAGTTAGTGGGTTAAAAATGATTTTTTAAGTTCTTGTGGTATATGGAGTGGTGCGGGGAGAGGGAGCTTATGAATATTCGAGGATAGAGAAAGAATGGTGACTTCTTTGCCTATTTGAGGTGTCAGATTTACCTGCAAATAGTTTTTAGGTAACACGTGAAATATATTGCAAAAATATATCAATTATTTATATGATCAAATATAACAAATCAAATGTATAATCATCATTAGATTTAAGAAATTTAAATTAAAAAAAAAAGGAATAAGAATATATGGCCTGTGAACCAAAGAGAGGCGCGATGTCGCTGCCCTAAAGCCATAGACGCCTCCCTACATGCAGGTTATGGCGGTGTTTACAACTCCAAGATACAACCCAAAGCCTCACAGGATGTCTGATCCGATATGCACGCCAACGGAAGACAGGATTGCTAAGCAGTGATCAATTGCCCAAGAATTATGAAGTAGGAATGTAAATAGATTGAGAGAGATGTAAGAATTGAGGGAGACAGAAGGCTTTAGCGTATTATGTTTTCTGTCTAAAGTTTCTTATTTAAAGAACTTCTCATACCCTTTTAAACGGAATATGACTCTTCAAATAAAACACAACTCGTAAATATTATAAATAAATAAAATAAAATAATAATACGTTTTGAATCTTTAAAATAAAATATTATTAAAATATTTAAAAACCAACAATCCCCCACAAGATTCAAAACTCTATGAGGAATAAAAAAGACACAATTGAAGAAACGAAAGTTTGGGCAATTTGTATACCATGCAATGGGTGTAGGTGTCTTTTGGACTTGAACCTACACTTTGTATTCTAGTTTTCATCTGAATGAATCATAGTGAACTAAGACTTGAACTAGATTCCTCTAATTTAGATTACAACATATGACACACAAATTATTGATCAAAAACTTGGTGCAGGTTAACACTATTTATGGCCATGCACTTAATCTTGATTCTCATGAGTGTTTTTAGAGAACAACCCAATTCTCACAGTCGCGGCCTTACGACTACTCTCACTTAGGTGAGTCGTCCAAGAGTACATGTGACTTGTACTTTGCGAGAGATTGCCCGCCTTGGAACTCATTCAAGACAATGTCTTTCCTTAACACCACTTATCATCAGCATAAATGTCATAGGGATGAGGAGGAGATTTTATTTCAAATCTCCTATTTTAGAGTGCTGGAATATAAGTCACGCAATATGGATTGTTTCTACCCGTTGAACCTTCTTCATAGGATCTCCAATCACAAAGGTAGGGTTTCTTCCCTAGGTGACTTCCTTATGGGTTTAAGCCCATCCCCCTCGACAAATCTAGGACTCCATTCCTAGATAGACCTTTGGTCAATTGATCAGCAATGTTCTTTTCTGACTTCACATAGTCCAAAGAAACAACTTCTTTATTTAATCACGGATTTGTATCTAACATTAATGTGTCTATTTAATTTCTTATTTGTATGTGTTTGCCTCACTAAATCTATCACGGCCTTATTATCACAATGTATGGAGATGGCATGTATAGGCTTGCTCACCAATGGGATATCAAGCAAAAAATTCTTAATCCATTCAGCCTCTATACATTCAGTATCAAGAGCTATGAGTTCAGATTCCATTGTACTTCTAGAAATTATTGTTTGTTTCTTAGATCCCCAAGATATAGCTGCTCCTCCCAATAAAAATACATATCCTGAAGTAGATTTCACTTCGGAGCTATCAGTGATCCAATTTGCATCACTATACCCTACTACTACATAAGGAAATCCTTTATAGTGTATATAATAATCTATAGTTCCTCTTAGATAATTAAATACTCGCCTTAAAGCATTCTAGTGTTCTTTACTTGGATTATGAGTGTATCTACTTAGCCTTCCAACCGCATAAGCTATATTAGGTCTAGTTTTATTTGCTGTATACATCAAGGACCCAATCATTTGAGAATACTGGAGTTGACACACGGGTTCACCACTATTTTGAAGTAAGCACACACTTGGTTCATATGGTGTCGAGATAGGATTGCAATTGAAAAAATTGAACTTCTTAAGCATTTTCTCAATTGAACTAGCTTGGTTTATAATAAAACCTGCTGTTGTTCTTTCTACTTTCATTCCCAAAATAATATTGGCTTATCCTAGATCTTTCATATCAAATCTCTTTGATAGATAAGACTTAACATCTTTCACAATTTCCAAACTTGTTCCAAATAATAATATGTCATCAACGTAAAGACATAAAATTACACACTGTCCATTGCATTCCTTATAATAGACACACTTTTCATGCTCATTAATTTCATAATCATATTCTGAAATGACTTTATCAAATTTCTCATGCCATTGCTTAGGAGCTTGCTTGAGTCCATATAACGATTTAACCAACTTACACACTTTATGTTCTTGGCCTTTCACTATAAATCCTTCGGGTTGTTCCATGTAAATTTATTCATCTAAGTCTCCATTCAAAAATGTTGTTTTCACATCCATTTGATGAACTACTAAATTGTGTATAGAAGATAACGCTATAAGGATCCTAATTGTGGTAATCCTAAACACAGGAGAGTAAGTGTCAAAGTAATCAATTCCTTTCTTTTGATTGAATCCCTTGGCTACTAGCCTAGCTTTGTACTTGTCTATACTTCCATCAGGCTTCAGTTTCTTCCTAAATACCCACTTACAACCAATTGGTGTAGTACTGGGTGGTAAATCCGTTAACTCCCAAGTGTTGTTTTGTAAATAGTCTCAACTTCATTGTTTATAGCTTCTTTCCAAAATGGAGCATCGACATAAATCATGGCTTCCTCATATGTTGTTGGATCATCTTCAATTAAAAAAGTATAAAAATCATCACCAAAGTTCTTCTCCACTCAAGGTCTCTTACTCATTCTAAGTTATGCTAGAGGTTCTTCTTCATTAGTAACTTGATGGCTAATACTTGTGGAGGCTTTGTCAGTACTAGTGCATGATCTGTCTATCACTTGCTTTTGCATTATAGTCTTGAAAGGAAATATGTCTTCAAAATATGTTGCATCCCTAGACTCCAATATAGTGTTATTCTAAATTTCATTTATTTCAGAATTGATGACTAGAAATCTATTGGCACTACTATTATGAGCATAACCTAAGAAAATAATATCCACAGTTTTAGGTCCTATCTTCTTTCTCTTAGGTTATGGGATTTCAACTTTAGCCAAACACCCCCACACTTTCGACTTGGAGATTTGGTGTTCTCTTTTTCCACATTTCATATGGAGTAGTAGTGTTGTCTTTAATTATTACTCTATTTATTATAAAACATGCAGTCAAAATTGCTTCCCCCCCACAAATTTTCCGGTAATCTAGAACTCAAAAGCATTGCATTCACCATGTCCAATAAGGTCCTATTCTTCCTTTCTGCAACTCCATTTGATTGTGGAGAATAGGGTGTTGTTACTTCATGTATAATACCATGATCTTCACAAAAAATACTAAAGATCGGTAAGAGTGTACTCACCACCTCTATCAGACCTAAGTCTCTTTATCCTTTTCTCTAATTGATTTTCCACTTCTGTCTTGTAAATCTTGAATTTACCAAATACTTCATCCTTGGTCTTTATCAAATAAATATAATAATACTTCGAACAATCATCTATAAATGTGACAAAATACTTATTACCAACAACTCTAGTAGGTAATCTATTTGAGTCACAAACATCACTATGTATAAACTCTAAAATTTGGGTATTCCTTTCCACAGACTTAAACGGTTTCTTGGTTTGTTTTGCTTGTACACAAATTTCACACTTACGCTTAAGATTCATGTTTGACTTTGGGACTAGGTCCAAATCCATCATTTTCTTAATTTTGAACAAGTTTACATGTCCCAACTGTCCATGCCAAACATTACTAGATTCAACCTTAAGAACTTTTAGAAGAGTATTGAACTCTGAAGAAACACTTAACTTAAATAATCCTTCACTAATAAAACCTTTTCCAATAAATACATTATTCTTGGTTATTACAACCTTATTTGATTCCATTACAACTTTATAACCTTGCTTTAATAAACATGATCCACTAATTAAATTTCTTCTAATATAAGGTACATGTCGCACATCCTTCAAAATTAAGACATTTCCTAATGTCATCTTTAGTTCTATGTCTCCTGTGGAGCCAAAAATAATCACAAGGCGACATGTGGATTTTTGAACAAAAAGGACAAAAATACCCTTGCGGTACAATGAGGTTCTTACGTGCGAGCAGCGAGCAACCCTCTTTCAACCAAGTTAGAAGTGCCCAAAATAGATAACAATTTAAAGCCTATTTCATTAAATCCTTTCTATAAGGTAATTCCCAAAACCTAATTTATTCCATTTCATTATTTAGCTAAATAATATATTCCTTTCATATTTCCTAAAATCTTCCTTTAAAAACATAATAATTGACTAATTAAGGGATTAATTGCCTAATCAATCCCCTAATTGTCAATTAAATCACTCATTCAACCCCAAAAACAACTCAAAGGCCGGCCATCCCCATTCAAAAAGGAGTCTAGCATACTTTCTACCTTTTTTATTTTTTTATTTTTTATCATTTCTCCCTTTTTATTACATTAATTAGCTAGCCAATTAATTTCATAACCACCAAAACATTCACCTTATGATTAAT